GATTGGGCCATATATTGGGCTTTAGGATTTGGGCCTTTGAATGGTTGAGTTGGGCCTTAGTTTTGGGCCAAGTTTGATAAAGGATAAATTGGTCTTTTACCCTGGTTATGGGCCAAATAGCTTAGACTTTTGGTTTTGAGTCAGAATCCAATTAATAATTGGATGTTATTGATTTTGATAGCGCGGGGATTTTCCGGGCCAGCAGTCAGAGATTCATTCGAGTGATTCCACAACTTGAGGTGAGTTCCTCACTGTGTTTAGCGGGTCGAAGGCACCAATGTCGGCCCTTGGTTTATTATGTTAGGATGCAATATGAGTGCATGACTCTTGCATGTGTATGTGTTGGTATGCTTATCGGGCATGGCCCGATGCCTAGCGGGGCCCGATTACTGTACTGTATGCTATTATCTTTGTGATTATTACATGTGTTTGTACGATTTTATGTTTGTATGTTTATATGTATATCGGGCGAGGCCCAATGCCAGGCGGGGCCTGATGACTGTCAGATTTATATAACGAGCGGGGCTCGATGTCGGGTGGGGCCCATTAGGTGTTTATTATGTATGGTATGTGGTATTTGGGGGACTCGCTAAGCTTTGTGCTTACGGTTTTTAGTTTATGTTTCAGGTACTTCTAGTTCGAAAGGGAAGAGTCCGAGATGATTGCAGAGCACACACCACATTATTCCGCATTTTGTGATTTACTATGATATTTTATGATGTATTGATACACTTTGTTCCACCTTGGTTTCATGATGATGTTTTAGACTATAGTGTTATTAATTTAAAAATGAAAATTTTTTGTCTTAATTTTTGGGACGTTACAATTTGGGATAAATGGTAATTATCGAGGTACTTTAACTTCCCTTATTAACTCTATCAAATAAATTGGTATGTGAATTATGCTAAATGACCAAAAATGCTTTTTATTGATTTTCTTTTTCAATTCTTTTTCTAATTCTATATGCATATATTATGAAAAGTATGTTAAATGGCAACCATATTCTATCAAAGGAAGAATGTGTGTTTTTTTTATATATATTTAGAATAGAAGCATGGATGGTATCGGTTTAAAAAAAAATCATAAATTATCCATTTTAACAAAAGTTCAGAAATGGTTGTTTGGTTTTAGGTTAATTTTATAAAATAGCAACATGTTATTTAACATTTATTATATCATTAAATTGTTTTAAATTCAATAAATTTGTTATAATATGGCGTAATACATGTTAATATTTGCTTCTTTTTCTTTTGTGACTCGCTAACAATAACAACATACTTTATTGACAAATGATTAACATTTCCTATTTTTTTTTCTAATTAAGGCATTGTATGTTTAAAAGTCTATTAATAATATCAGTGTACTAACATGTTTGATTGTGGTTGTTATGTTGACTCTATCTGTTATTTTATTTTGTATAAATTTAAAGATATATAATTCCATGATTTATGAATACTATTTTTATATTCTTTATGATATTTAACTTTGTCAATCGTAGATTCCATGGGTTATAACCTAGTCTAATAGAAATAGGAAGGGTCATCGTCTTCGTTTTGGTAGTAGTAACAATAGTCATTCGTTGTTTGGAGTTTAGTCGTCATTGGCATGCACTTCTTTGAAGTCAAATTCTTTTGAGGTAAGTGAGACCGACATCCACCTAGCTATTTCTTCATTGTATATTTGATGTTTGACCTTTGCAATTTTGCGTTCAAGTGGTGCACTATGTTGTAAGGGTGGGTGGTGGGCAATGGGACCGAGGGTATCGTACGGAACCATACATCTTCAGGTTGGTATTCGGGTAAAAACTAGTACCAAATCGGAATATGAATGATCAATCCTTTGAACCTTTGTGACCATATTGCAACCTGCATAACTTTTTTGTACAAGCTCTACATGTATTCTTCTTCCTATATCTTTTTCTCTGTCTTGACTAAATGCTAGGCTCAAGAATCAACTGATTTGAATAAATATACAACTATATAGAATTTTTTTCAGGTTTGAACATTCATAACTCTTTCATATGAACTCAAATTAGATTGATTCTTTTTTATGTTTTCTTTGTTGCCTTAACTTCATTTCAGAATCTCGAACCTCATGTATTGTTATACTTAAGCCCGAGTTATATATCATCAAACATGTACGTTTCACACATAAATCATCCAAAAAATGCAATATGTTTTTTAATTCTTGTTTTTACTATGTGTTCCTTGTCGTCATAACTCTCTCATATGATGATATGAAATATGAAGTTGCTGCAATTTTAAATGTGTATGTACTTTTGGTTTTGTAAGTTGTATATTGCAAAATCAATCCTAGAATGAGATCGGTACCGAGTACCACAACCATATCACATAACAGTTTGATATTTAGTTCCTAGAAACTGCCCAAATCAATTTCAATAATTTTAGGACATGTTCGGCATAGAGCGTTTGAGAGCTTTTAGCTTATAGCGTTTGACAAAACGTTCCATTTTGAACAGAAAGCCTCGTTTGGCACTACAAGCTTCTAGCGTTTAGTTTAAACAAAACGCTCCAAATCCAAATGCTACTTCACATAGCGTTTTGTTAAACGCTACCAGCTAGAAGCTACCCACTACAACTACCTGCTACCAGCTATTTTTACCGAACACGCTCTTAGATTGGTACCGGTTCGGTTCGGTTCTGATACCAAACTGACTCCTATTATGTTGTGTTTGTTCGACACCATATAAGTCGTCTTTCAAGAAAAAACATATAAGTCGTCTTTCAAGAAAAAACATGCTTCCACACCAAATGGGAGTGAATTTTGTTTTTCTTGGAAATATTGTTTTGCTACTAACTAGAAAAAATGGATTTTGAAGCTATCGTAGAAACTTGGATGTTTAGTAGATCATGTTCTAGTGGCTTGAACGGGATATTGAAATTCATTTTCTTTCCACCAAACCAAGAAAGCTAAATTTTCAAACTCATGTATTGCTATATGTGCTAAAATCAGTTCCAATATAGCTTCTAAGCTCGCTAATAGAGTTTTTACTTCGTGCATGTTTACTAGCTTTATTTGTGTTTTTTTTTCATTGTTTTGTTAAAATTAGAAAAAAAAAGCCACAATATATGAAATATGAAGATATATAAATGTTTATGGTTATTGGCGTAAACACTCAATACCATAAACCATTGACAATATCACATCATGAATATTTTTTTTTCAGTAGTTGGCACTAAAAACTTAGATTCTTTGGTTTCTTTTTGTTTGTTTATAAGCCTGTGAAGTTGTGGAACTTTCAACATACTACTCATCTTCAACTAGGATGAAACAGATGAAGAATTCAATAAAGGATATTATGGTATTTCCGTATTTGTTTCGCATAGATTCCACAGCAAAAAAATAAAAAATATATAAATGTAAAATAATTTTAAATTGTACATCATATCTTATATTTTAGAAAAATATTACATAAACCTAGAAACATGTTCTTGTATATCAAAGCAATAAATGGTATATTTAGAATATTAAATGTTATTCTGAAACTAGCTTATAAATTATTTATCAAAAACTAAACTAGTTGTACAATATTAAACATAGTCTAACTATATTCCCAAATTGGTGATCAAACGTGAGACTGTTTTCATTAAGAAACTTTTCATGTGACCAAAAAAATCTCTCGTAGGACTTTCTTTTGCAAAATAAATGATTATCTTATGATAAAAAAAATAGTCACATGATATATTAAACCTGAAAATTAGGGGTGCGTATGGAGCGGTTTGGTTCGGTTATTGGTCAAAACTGAACCATAATCATTACAATTGGTTAATGTATTTCAATAACAATTGGGTAACGGTTAATATTGGTTTTGGTTAACGGTTTTAGCCGGTTAATGGTTATGGTTAATGGTTAATATCGGTTAACCATAATCTTCTATCAATACAATTATATATAATTGTATTGATAGAAGATTACTTATCATATATAATTCTAGATAATTTCCCTTTAAATTTTCAATTCTTAATATAATTACATATAATATACTCATTACGTCCCATATTTATTATCCACTTTTGACTTTTGAAGTCTTTATTTTTCAACTTTGACCTTAAATATTTTTATTTGTGTTATAAATTACTTGATTAAATTATAACAATGAAAAAACATTTAAAACATAATCCGTTCATATATTTTGCATAAAGTATTATATATCAAAAACAAAAATATTTAAGGTCAAAGCTGAAGATTAAGATCTTCAAAAGTCACAAGTGGACAATAAATATAAAACCGATAAGTATTTAATATTATATTATATTATAAATATTTATTAATATTAGAAAGGAGGTACTTACATGAAAGTAGTCGCTTAATTTTTCACAATAAAACCAATAAACCAGTATACTTTCAAACTCTCTTTTCAAACTACTGATTTTTACATCATGTTTGTAAGATTGCGATTTGGTATTTTTTTTTTAATTGGTTTTAGAGTAAATTACACGAATGGTCTGTATGGTTTAGGATAATTTGCACGTGTGTCCCTATCTTATTTTTTTAATTTGGAAGGTCCGTACTGTTTGTTTTTGTTACGCACTTGGTATCTGTCTTACCTAAAAAGACTATTTTGTCATTTATTTTTTAACTTATTTAAATAAACACCCCAACCCCACCTCTCACTTTACGTTACATATCCTACAATTAGTCTTTTTAGGTAAGACAGGGACCAAGTGCGTAAAAAAAACAAACAGTAGTGACCAAACGTGTAATAAAAACAAATAGTAGGGAACTTCTAAGTTAAAAAAATAAGTTAGGGACTAAGCGCACAAATTACCCCAAACCATAGGGACCATTCGTGTAATTTACTCTTAGTTTTATTCCTAATTTTATGTCATTTGACCAATAATCAACCCACCCATCCCCTCCCCTCCCCTCTCACGCTGTCCGTTTGTTTGGCATCCTTTGTTTTCTTTTTTTATAATAAATTAAAAACAAGAAAGGGATAAATAGAACATAAAAGTCAAAAGGAAATATGATAACATAGCACATTTAAATATTCGAGTAATAATATCACTACATGCCACACCATCATCATATGTTAAATAGATAAAATGCTATAACAAAAGAATAATCAATCACAACCTCAACCAACATAACTTACATGACCTTCTTTAACCCCTTCTCCCTTTTGATTTCGAGTCGCATCTCCCTCTAGCTTAAGACATATACTTACACGAGCCTTTACCTAACAAATTAAATCAAAATCAAGTTAATCACAATTCACACACAACCATAACCATCATCAAGGTACCCTACTCTTACTTTTTATCACCAGTGGCGGACCTTAGTGGGGCATTTGGGGTCCCGGACCACTGCTCAATTTCCAGCACACAGTGTAAAAAAAAAAAATTTTTTTTTTTTGGTTTTTTTTATTAGGTGCACCCATTTGAAGTACGAGGGACACCCCTACTAAAACAGTCTGCGTCCGCTACTGTTTATCACCCATGTTCGAATCCAAACACTCAAATGAGTTTATGGCTTATGCGTCTTAAGTCATTTCCTTATTAAGCTCATTTAGTAAATCAACGGAAGTAAACTATAACTTACTTGGATCGTTGAACGTGACAACTCCAGTATGAGCAAAATCACAATTAAAGTCGTTCCGGCCATTTGTCTGATAAAAAGCATTCATGATAAACGCGGCGTGGGCCCGCACATTATTCGGCTCAAAACAAGCCCCACCAGTCTGAATAGGTTTGCAATCTGCCCCGTTGCTGCAAACATAATCAATGTTTGATTGGAGTGCAGCATCGGTGACATCTGGTTTAGGCACACACCACTTTTTGCCTCGTATTGGTGCCGCCGGCAATGATTGTTTTGGTGATGGACCTGTCGGCTTTTGCTGTAGTATACCCACATCAAAAATATTATGAACATATGTTTCAGGATAAGTACAAGTATTTCTGCATAAGGTACATGTTATATGCAGATGTTCTTGGAATTGTGTTTGTTATAATTATGGATTTACAAATATTAAAAATGATTTATAAAGTTGGTTACTCAAATACTTTTTGCTGCATAGTTCATGGTCCACATGACAACCTCACATGACTATCAACAACTCTATTACTATATATAAATGTTATTTAATATATCTTAAATGACAATTCTTCTTTTTAATTTTTCAAAAGTGTTATTGTTTTTTCTTATTTAAAAAATAAGCATCATACGTTTTGGTTTAAATAATATAATAAATATTTTGTTTTCATAATTACTATTGGCTGTGTATCACTAGCTTCTTTAATTCAAATACATTTATTAAACTATGCTTTCTTTAATTCAAAATTAACATAGATCAATAATAGAATGGGCTAAATACATTTATTAAACTATGCGTTCTTTAGTAAACGTAATTACTAACATTGTTCCATTTTTGACTATTTAGAAGTCAAAATAGACGTCAAGATTTGTCTAGATCCGATAATACGACGTCGTTATCAGTTTTTCTGTTGGATCAGATATCTATGCGTCACGTTACTATCCAACTCCAATGAAACATCGACATGTGCAATCAAATCAGACGAAATTTTGGACTTCAATTTGGGAAAGTAATCAATTACCTGTGATCCGCGCAAGATCCCGATGTTGTAAACTTGAGTGAAATCCGGTCGAAAAAGACCGAAATTCTTCTCATCCAATGATGGCCCTTTCAGATCCTCATTGAACAACGAAAATATGTAGGTCTCAAACTTTCTTCCCGGCATCAATGGCGTTCCAACACCGGAAGCATCTCTCTTCAACAAACCACCGTTATACAACGCCGCATTGACAGGATTCGCGTGTTTGTTTTGTGGGTCTCCCCCCGATGGCCACCCTGTCTCCGCCACAATGATTTCCACATCTGGGTAACCCAGCTTCTTCATCGAAATGTAAACCGCGTCCAGCAGTTGATCAAGCTGGTTGGTATACCTTTAATTTCATTCATCAAGAACACAAATCCATAAATCCATTAACTAAAAAAGTTCAAAATCCCTACAAATCTTTAACTAATAGCTGTGACATGGGAACGACAAGGGTACCTTTTTCCGGTGACTTTATCGAACATACCGGCGTTGGGTTTGAAGAGACAGAAGTTAGCATTCGCTGGAGAGTAACCAAAATACGTATACGGGTTAACCATGAAACCCGATTTGGTTTTTCTCAAGAACTGGAGCATCGGGGCGAGATTGCCCACATCCCATCCTGGTCTAAACGACGCGTTGCTTGGCGGAGTAGATTCCTGAAGGATTCCGAGCGAATGTGGGCTTGAAATCTTAACATCGTTAATCCCAGCTTTAACCAGCGCTGCGTGAAGCACCCTCATCGCCGGCACGAGGTTATCGACGAGGTTCTGAGGCCCCCAGTGGAGCACCTCGGTGCCGACACAGATGTAATGGAACTTGGTAGCTGGGTGAAACGGCTTGATGTTGGCATTAACCCACCGGAGGGCGTTACGGGCGTTGGTGAGTGACGGGATGTCTCCGTTAGGGACGGTGACGGTGACGAGGATGCCGGTGTTGGCAAAGGCTTTGATGATGTCGGGATTGACGTCGAAGATTTTGATGCGGTCGATGACAGTTTTGGATTTCAGGAACTGAGCGACTTGAGAGTGTGATGGCAGGTTGTCGCCCAGGGTGCCGTAGTTGACGCCGATGGAGTGTACGGCGGCGGGGAGGAGGAGGAGGAAGAAGAAAGAAACTCTCGAAAGCTCCATTTTATGTGGTTATTTTTGAGGTGAAACGGAAAGTAATTTTGTAGTGTTGACTGTTGTCGAAGGTTAAAAACATAGAAAAAGGTAGCGTGAGTGGTGCATAGTGCGCACAATAGCGAACGGTGGCAGGTGGCGTAGGACATGCTTCAAGGAATTTATTTGAAATCAGACAGCGCGTAAAGCCAAGAAAAAACGTGTAGCTTATTTATTTATTTATTTTTTATTTTTTTGTCTTTCTTGATTATATATATATATATATATATATATATATATATATATATATATATATATATATATACTAGGTGTGAGACCCATGTATTACATGAGTTTATTTAAAAGAAAAATTAAATACAAAATTCTAAACATTTGAGAATTATAAATTTATAAGAAAAGTGAGAAAATATTGAATTATAAAAATTAAAGTGTTTTTTTTCTCTTTTAAATTTAAACAAATAATTTAGATAAATAAATAAACAAAATTAATGAATATTTAATTTACTAATTTTGAAATTAGAAGGAAAGTTCATTAATGAAATTGATCTGCATTTATTATTATATTTAAACACTATCTAAAATTTAATAAAATGAAAAACCCATAAAATGACATGTGGAATAAAAATTAATTTAAAATAACCACAAAATTACATGTTGCAAAATAAATGAGAATGTGACATGTGACAAAAAGATCTTTATTTATTAGGGAGGATATGGACTTGGATGAATATCTATTGTGCGGACGTGTTGACGGTGTTATTATGTGAGAATGACAGATAAAATATATTGTTTCGTAATGTGAATACGTTCAACTTTACATAACTATTGTCATTATCACGCATTCTCACTAATTAAATCGTCTATAAGGTTATTATTGATTTTTTTTTATTATTCTCATTCTGTCAGAATATTATCAGAATGTTTATTGAATCGTATTCTGTAAGAATGAGAATGAGTAAAAAAACGATATGTAAGAACAAAAATGAATAAGAATTAGTAAGAATGCATCATAATGACGATATTTGTGTGAGGTTGAAAGTATTCATATTAGTAAACAACATATTCTTTTAGTCATTCTCATAGAATAACATTGTCCACACGTCCGCACAATAGATGTTCATCCACATTATAACCTAGCTATATATATATATATATATATATATATATATATATATATATATATATATATATGATTTGATTTAAAAGACATCACTAAAATAATAGAAAGATACAAATTGTCATAGGAAATTGGCTTCTTTTTCACATCAACTAGTAACTACGAATTTCACAAAATAAATTATGCAATTGAAATTATTGTATTAACTACATTATATTTTAACTAAAGTTTAGGTGTTGGAAAATTTTTAGTCACATCCTTTGAATTTTGCAAATTTAGTGTTTTGGTTTTTGAAGAATGTTACATTCCAACATATAATATTAGTGACATTAGGTTATAACTAACATAATGGAATGTGATTGTTTTATATGTAGTATAATATCGTCTAAAGAGCTATATGAATAAGTTCTGACCCGGTCATGTTCGACGTTTTTGTCTGACTCGATCCATGTAGTGTGTTTGATTAGTGTAAAATAATCGTCTGACTCGGTTCTAATAAAAAAAAGTTGACTCGGTTCTAAAGAAAAAAATGCAATACTCGTTTTCCATAACATGTAATTATTCCAAGGGGTATAACTTGTTTATGAGACAAGTAAGAGAAATAAAGCATGAATTTGCTTTAAGTTGTTTATAGAATGTGTATGGGTGTTTAGTTGTGAAGTGGAAGGAGAATATGACAATCTGTAAAGTAGATTGTCATTTCTAGGGATTATGATCAGAGATTCAATGCTAGAATGTGAGGTTACGAGTTATCAATCGAGCTGAGGTATTATCTTGTCTTGTTATTGTGTTATTGTGTTTTGTAGCTCAATTATGAAGGGATATTGGAACCCGAATTAGTTGTTAGCAGTCATAATATGGTGCTATTATGAACTTTGTTGCAAACCTAGCATGTGAAGTACACAGACGGGTTGATATAGGTTATAGACACTAATTAGTGAAATTTTTAGAAATATGAGATTAGTTAATAACTTACAGGATTTAATTATTTAGCACTTGTAGTATGATGTTTAATTAGTCTTGTGATAACTGGTCATATAGTCTAGCTCGAAGTGAGTTGTAACAGGTTCTAAGGAACTTGTATTTGTTGAATATGTGTTGTTAAGTGACAAACTGAGAGGCAGTGGAAGATAGAAACCGAAGCAAGAGTTAGCCTTACTAACTATGCTCTAACATTTGTTGTTGTTAACGTGTGTTGCTACACAATATGTAGATTAGATATATTGTAATATTAATATGTTATGTATTATTTATATGATGATATATTGTAGTATGATGACATAAGTTTGGGTGATGGTTGATAGACTTTGTGGACATAAGTTAGTCAACTATTATATATTTTAGGGAATATGATGATACATATATATATATATATATATATATATATATATATATATGTTAGGTGCATTTCATGCATCCATTTTGTAGTTTTAATCCATAAAAGTGCATTGCATTCAGGTTTAAACTCATGCATTTTGCATATTTTTCGGGATTTTTCATGATGCAATTTCATACACACACTTTTATGATATTTCAGGGACTTTTGGAGGTTGGATCTTACTTTAGGAGGTTAAAAAGAGTTGAGGGCAAAATTTCGGGACTTGCGGATCATTGAAGAGAGAGATAAGAGGAAAATGAAGATTTTAGCTTTTCAGAGATTTACACGGCCGTGTAAATGGAAGCCTATAGTTTACACGGGCCGTGTAAACGCATACTCGTGAGCAATGTACTTCGAAGGCCTGACAGATTTGAGCAATTTACTTTTTGTATTTACACGGCCGTGTAAATGGTCAGTTATAGTTTACACGGGCCGTGTAAACGTGTCGCCAGTTTTTAAAACAGTTTTATTCTAATTTAAAGAGGGGAACCGGTTCCAAAAAGGGGGGGGGGTCGTATTTTGGGAGTTCTAGGAGGCAATTGTGGGAGCTTGAAGAAGACAATTGTTGCTTGAAAATACTTGGATTTCATTTTGATTTCAATTTGTAAGATTTAACTCTTAATTTCTAGATTTGTGATCTTGTTCTAGTCATGAGTGGCTAGAACCCTAGTTTCTAGTTCTTGTTCAAAATATGTTGATTGCTTGACTTAAAGCATATGATTTGATGCTTGATTTGTGATTCTATTCTAGTGATTATGTTCTTGTTTAAACTAGAATCCTTAAATTTGATTTGTGTTTGATTGGCCACTTTCATGAATTGAATTTTTATGTAGTTAATTAACTTTTAGGGCACCTAATCGTTCTATAAAGTTAATGGTTGGTAACAAACAATAGGTTTTCTTATTGTAGAACATTTATCACATGTTTTCACACTTCCGAGCGTATGAGAAGAAATGAACATTGTTGGGAAGCTTGTACAAAACTTAATGCAGTTTTTCAATACAATCTAAGAGCGTGTTTAGGTTGAATTAGTAAAGCTAGGTCTAGTCAAAGAGCGTGTTTTGGTTAGATAATTTGGCAAGCGAGAGGTGTTAGAGCGTGTTAATATCTTTCAGTACATCAAGTCATAATCAAGTTGAGCACAACATTGAGAACTAGAACTGGAAGCACTTTTACAACTTGTTTACAAATCTATTTCATTTTCTGCATGTTTCAAAGTTGATTGTTATTTTCATTATTTGACCTTTGCAAACAAACCCCCCTTTGTGACCAAAGTACCTTACGCAAAGAGGTATAGACTTTTATCCCGTGTCTCTGTGGTTCGACCCTGCTTGCCTTGTACTACCTTTTTAGTGCATTAAAGAAGTGTATTTGGAGTCTGTTGTACCCCTATTATTTGTTGGGTTTAACACGTCCAACAAATCGGCGCCGTTGCCGGGGACACGGTGTTACTAATTGTTTATGCCTAGATCTTTCCGTACAGGTACACCATTGCCAATTGACTCAGAGATAGAGAAGACTGCAAAGAAGTTAAGGAAACAAGCCAAGCCTCGTAAGAGGCAACCGGTTTCCGGAACTTCTTCATCATCTACCCCTCCGGTCATTAATATTTGGAAGGATATACCCCTCTCAAGTGTGTCCGCATCTGAAACAGAAAACCCCTCATCATAATCTCAACCATCCTCACCCATAAATACCACCCCACTCTCTTCACCTACTCATAACATCCCAAACACTACACCCACGGAAACTTCAACTACTTCTCACGCCATGGGGGATAACCATGGAGGAAACCCACCTCCAAACCCACCACCCGAACAAACCCTTCGCCAATGGTCAAGACAAGAGGTTACTCAACAACCTCTTTGCATCACATATCCAGCTGCCACAAACCTTGAACTAAAATCCGAGCTTATCCACTTACTCCTAACTTTTAGAGGTTTGGAGAATGAAGATCCTCACAAGTTCCTCACCGAGTTCCATGTAGTATGTGTGGGGATGAAACCACACAATGTCACTGAGGATCAAATCATGCTTAGGGCATTCCCCTTCGCAGTGCAAGATGCAGCCAAAGACTGGCTTTATGACCTCCCACCGGGGACGGTAACTACTTGGGTAGATCTTGCAATGTTGTTTTTGGATAAGTACTTTCCCGAGATGAAAGCTTCAGCCCTACGGAGGGAAATCATTGGAATCAAGCAACACAAGAGAGAAGCTTTTCACACATATTGGGAAAGGTTCAAGAAACTTTATGCCCGATGCCCAAAGCATGGAATCACCGAGTATCAGCCTCTCCAATATTTCATTGAAGGCATGACTCCAATGGAGATAAGACTTCTTAATGCTTCTAGTGGCAGCTCTTTACCCGACAAGACTCCAACCGAAATCCGCAATCTAATCAAGAACATGGCTGAAGATTGTAAACATTCAAGCCATGATGAAGAATGGTACACGGATGCACCCCGAGGTGTAAAGGAGGTCCAAACTCCTCAAATTGAAGCTCAATTGTCCGAGCTTACGAAAGTGGTTATGATGCTAGCCAAAGACAAAGGTGTGCAGCCCACACCCCGCCCATGCGGTATTTGTACTCAAGTGGGGCATCCAACCGACATGTGCCCTCAAC